AAAAAAAAAAAAAAGGTTCCATGGGGCTTAGTGACCTAAGACTATAAACCTCTCCTCTTAACCACTACTTTTCTCTGTCACCTGCAAGAAAAACACAATGAGTTCTGGAAGGTCTAACAGCAAGTTAAGCCTAGCTGACCCATGTCATCTGCAGGTTGCAGACTCAGCTGGTACCTGGGTCTCTCTCCTTTGACATGCCCATGTGATATGAAAAACAACCATGGCACTGAGAAACGAAAAAAAAAAAAATTCCCTCCCCCAAAAGACTTGCAGTCAAACTCACATAACTGTTACTGAACTAAATTTGCTGGCCCTAAGACAAGCCAGATGTTGTGCCAGACTCTGACATGCAAAGGGTTCTTGGATGCAGTCCCTGTTTAAAGAGACAGGCAATCAGTCACAAGCATCAACAGCAATAGTTACAAGGGTACACATCTCATAAACTAGATACACTGTGACTTTTAGGAATCCACCCACTTTTCCTCAGTACAAACAAAGTATTTTTCAACCCTGTTGGCTTAAAGATGAATATAAAACAGACTAAAAATTTTTTTCTGATTCTGAACATATTTAAAACATTTTTTTATGGGCCCATAATAATACTGTGGGCCCTAGGCATTGATAAGTAAGTTTTCCCTGGAGTGAAGATATTCTGGATTAGGTGCCAAAGAAGTGCCAAAGGGAAAAAAGCTGCCTTCTTCTGTTACGGGAGGTGGAAGGGAAGTTGGTACCAGAATAAATAAATGCCAGCCTACAGAACCTGGGCACCGTGGCAGAGGAAAAGACTACAAACCAAACTGATAAGAATGAGGATTCCGGCCCTCCCTGGTGGTGCATTGGGTTAAAGCACAGCACTAAGAAGCTTAAGCCGCTTCCGTGTGAGTTCTATTCCCGCCTGCCACGGAGGAGATCCACATGGCGAGGCAGACCTCTCCTGACCCGCCTGCTGCTCCCCACAGCAGTATACTTCATCGATCTGCCTGTTCTGCTCCCCTCTCTGTCTCTGATGAATCCTCGCACCCTCCGCATCTCTGGCCTGTACCCCAGTTCTATATGAATAAATAAATAAATCTTAAAAAAAAAAATAGTAGGATTCCCCTGGAAGAAAATCATATGGAAGATCGACTGAAATAAGAGAGACCAACAGACAAGCAGGTGCCTATGGCCACAATCTGGACCTTTTGGGGCAGAAGTCTCAGCTATTTTGCTTACCACTGAATCCCCTGGCATATTACAGTATTTAATACATGCTTGCTGCATGAATAAACAAGTGAATGAACAAACATGGTGAGCAGAAATTAACACTGAAAGGAAAGGAGTGATAAAATGTTACTTTAAAGACAAAAATCAACATTTAAAGTTTACATATTCCCTATAACTTATGAAAGTTACTTGAGAATTTGACTGTGGGCTTTGGAGTCTCTCTCACACATATAGAAAGACCCACATCCCTGGAAACACCACAGCATAAACCACAGCTACAGATTGTTCTCAGCCTTCTTATGTGAGAGAGAACCACTTGTCACAATAAAAGCCTGAGACTATAAGCTAGTGAAGAAACCAGGACTTGTCCTGTCCCTAGCCCTAGGAGCCTGTTTTTCAAATCAAGCAGAAAGAAGTGAATCAACTCCAGAGTTAAGAGACCGGCAGCTTTTTAAATTTAACAGGATGATCCCCTCAAAGAAATTAAATCAATGACTTAGAGTTCCACCAAAGACAACTATCACTCCTTTTTAAAATTTAAGTCCAAGTGTGTTCATCAAATCTGTTCCACACAAATTACTAAGATTATAACATGCTCACAAAAAAATTTTGACAGATAAGAAGAAATGTAATATGATAGCTGCTTAGAGTCTTTTCCACGATAATATAGAGGAACAATGCAAGATAGGACAGCTAGATCTATCAATCAGAGATATGTATTTCTAACAAGTTTTTGAGAAAATGCATAGTGCTTGCATATATAAACTTTATATACAGATATTACATACAACAGATTTTCTTTAGCTGTTTACAAAACTTTAGTAACAGATCATGAAATACATTTGGATTAAGGAAGTTTTTTTTTTTTCTTTAAGAAGAAGAAAAGTTATACTTGTCTTATATAAGGATATGTTACAAAACATAACTATCAAAACTACTTAAAAACAGAAAATTTTAAATAAGTACAAAAACATTTCCCAAAACAGAGCTGGGATTCCATCCAAAATAGTCACCAACATTTATTTTCATATTATACCCTCTTCAGTGGTGAGATTATAAGGTTTCAATTTATTTTATAATTTGTTGTAATGCAAAGGTTTGAGTTTGGGTGGGATCTTTTTCCCCAAGTTCAAAGCGCCTGTGGTAACAAAGCAATATCCTGTTGAAGCACAATGTCAGATATAAAGTCAAGGTGCCAAAATTGAAGCAGCCATGCACTTCCTGGCACCTCACAGATATGGGGAGCAGGCAGAGACTGCTTTCAGTAGTGAGGCATTCACACCACCAAAATAACTGCCTCAAAAAGGGTTCTAACGGGACAATTCACTAAGTATGTGGTTTTAAGTAAACTCCTTTTTGGGGGGGCCGCACTTTTCCCCTAAAAAAATTGGCAGAGTTGAACTATGTGAATTTAAGTCCCAAATTTTACCATGCTATATTGCAAGTCAAGTGTAGAAACCCAGAGAACTAGAATTCAATTAAGTGCCCCCTTCCCAGACTGAGGGCTATACATTTCAAAGTGGAATCTCTTTGAAACCAACCACTAGGACACAAAATAAACAAACTTTGAAAAACAAACCCAATTTCAGTCAGAAGCTCAATTGGGTGGAGTGAATGTGTCTCTAACTTTAGTATGTGAAATCTCACACAGCACATACCTCTTCTCTTAAGGTGAAACCCTGGGTGAATATAGAATTTTTTATAGTCAATTCTGGGATGATTACCATAGCAAGCAGATCCCACTCCATTTCCACTGAGAAAAACATCCAGGCCATTCTAGAATTGTAATTCTACTGACTTCCCAGGAAAATAAGACTTAAGATGTTATGGAGCACCTCTGAGAATGCCATGGATGGGATGTCCCTGGCATTCCATTAGTACCTGAGTCTATCTAACTTTAATCAGATCTATATGAGTTAAGACCTTTTCAAAAAAAAAAAAAAAAAAAAAAAAACACCCACATTTACAAGCACACATTAACTTGCACTTAACTAGCATTTAACAAATATACTTTCAATGCTAGTATGGAACAAATATAATTATAAATTCAAGAGACTATATCGATGAAGTACTGACTGTCACTGCCACTTTGGAGATGTTGGAACATTTTTTTTTTCTTTTTAATGCTGTAACATTTAATAAAATATACAAGAGAAATGGTACATATTCATCAGAAAAAAATTAGAGCTACATGACACAGCACCCCCAAGGAAAGGATCGAAATGTCCACCCCTTGGGAGAGAAAAGCCAACAGCTGCTAAGTTCTTGGATACCATTATAGGCAGTGATTCTCAAGTTCTTTGGCTACAACTTTATGAAATATACTTCTATTATATTCTGCCCTACTACATACATACATACATTACATATCTGAAATGGAAGCTTTACAAAACAATACTCTTAGGCTATGTAGGTAAACTGGTATTATCTATTCTTAACTGTGTATTTCTATTTTTAAAAATACTGATCACAGCTCATTAAATTCATTTGAAAAAAAAATGCTGTACCATACTAATTCTACTCAAAATTGCGGCATAATAATTTCTTTTCTAAAATGTAGGAGAAGATGACCAAATTCACTGCGAACTAAATTCAAAACACTGAAGTCCTTTCTCACAGCAAGCAAATATAAAGCTTACAAATCTCAAAAATGACTACAGTACTCCTGAAAGTAACTCAGGGCTCCAGTCTGTCATTCCTCACTGCACAAGGAAGTCAGGCAGGCAGTGACTCCTTACCGTACTTACCTCATGCGATAGTGGAGCCGGAGCCATGTTTTGTCATCAACAGTGATGGAACGATTTGGAGCATACCAGAGCTTGGTGTTATCATCATAGAGAGCAAAGAGGTTGTGACACAAAGGAGAAATACCTGGAGGGAAATCAAGAAGATATCAGAAATTAAAAAGTTTATTCACCTGTTTCCAAAGTACTTCATACCCAAAGGTAAAGAATTCCCTCTTCCAAAAAAATAATCTAGGTCAGATTTATATCTTCTTAGAGTAAATACAACTTCCAACCATGTTCAATCAGACAATTTTATTCATAATATAATCAAGAACTATGGCAACCCAGGAATAAGATACATCCTTGGCCGGTGGGGGGAAGGGGAGTAGGTCTAACTAGTTTCTATGTTAGGATCTTCCTAAATCTTACTTTAAGAAAAAAGACACAGCTGAGAGGCTCCCAGATCCCACCTGATATGCACCTTGTGAAACACAAAAACATTCTTGGACTTTGTAAATCTCTGATCTGTTTCTTACAGGAAAGGTTTAAACAATTCTAACACATTATGCATTATGATTAAACATGCAAGGAAGTTCCTGGCATTAGTGCATGAAATATGTTAGAGTAAATAACCAAAATTATTTCTGTCCATGATTAAAAGTACTATTACCATTAACAATGAACATACATTGTAAGCGCTCTATATAGGTGTCATAAATAATTTTTATTACTAGACAACTAACACGAAGATATGCTAGCAATGGTGCTTCCCTGCCTCCCTCTACAAATTTGATATAGGAATGAGATTATTAATTATATGCCTCCTATGAGCAAGGGAGACTATGAAGCCAGCAAAGTACCTTTCTACTTATTTCTGAGTCTATGATTAATACAACACAGATATGGAATGTAAAAGCATGAAGGGAAGGAGAATGATTGCTATCATATTATCACTGTTTTGTTTTTTTTTTTAATGTGGCCAAGCCACAAACTAAGATACAGTAAAACTAACCGACTAAACACATGGAAGAATATGAGGTAATGGCATCTGCTTTCCGAATCACAAATCTGAAGTAACAATAACGTTGACAGAGACCCTCCCTGGCCCTACGCATTTAGGCAGGTATTCTCCCCAAAGTAGCACATAAGTCATTAGAGCTATTGACAGGGTGAAATAAAGAGAACTAGAGAAAAATTTAACATTGAAATTTTCTTTGTGAAAATAAAAATACTATCCTCAAAACATCATTTACTACAAAAATGAGGCTTTTAAGATTCTGTGTCATTCTGTATTCATGTATTTTTTTAAATTAACAAACTTTTGCAACATTCCTGAGTCAGTGCAAAAGGAGACATTCATTCTCTACAGTGTGGGCTTAGAAAATGGTGGCCCAAAATGCTGAGCCCAGAGCCAAGTCTGTCTTCCCACCCAGCCTGCTCTCCTTATAACCTTAATCTCTCATTAACTACAGCCCAACAAGCATAAAGAAATGGTCCTGGCAAATACAAATTGTACTGGCTACACTGATGGCACTATAAACTAAATCTCAAACAATAGTTCTTTTGTTAATCACAAATACTTCTAAAACTGCTATCTATTAGTGCTTCCTTTACTTTGTTATCTAAGCAAAATAGCTTTAAAATATTAGTGCAATTTCCCCCAATACTCTACAGATATGCCAGTTTTATCTAGTTTTATCTCTAGTTGACAATAGTCTACTATATTCTTCATTGTAACACAAACTTCTCCCCATTTATTGGACCACTGGTATCTGAAAAGCATTTAAGGGAGGAAGACATAGCAGCAAGAAAATGGGTTTTCTAAAGCAAGCTATTATTACAAACAAAAAGGGAATTTCTTGAAATAACCATACTATTTGCTCAGAGTTGTTTATCTGAGGGCTATTCTGGTAAGTGAAACATGGATCACCTGTCTAACATTACAGTGAGTTTCCTCACTGTGGAAGAAATCATAAAATGAGTTGATTTTTTATAGTTTTGCTGCAATGTAATTTACATAAAGTCTACCCATTTTAAGACAATTCAGTGAATTTTAGTATATTTACAGAGTTGTACAACCTTCACAACAATCTAGGTAGGTCTGATCTTTTTAAGTTTTTATGATTTGAACCTCACTAATCACTTAAAGTAGGTGATCAAAAACTGCCAGCAATCCCAAGTTTCAAAGATAAGAAGCTTTATATTATTAGTCAGTTTGGGTTCCAACCTCCCTCAGGAGTGATAGGTTAATCATGGTAAGGCAAGTCTCACTTTAAAAAAAAAAAAGTATTCACAGCTTCACTGTCCATTTCACAACCTGGCAATCTGACCAAGCTATAAAGCAACACCCAACTTCACACTTAAGCTCAGTCATATGTGGAGAAAGTGGGGGGAGGAGGGAGCATCCCTTAGGAGGCAGGGCAAAAGTGGCAATAGGATGGACCACACATCTTGAAGAATTAGTTAGACACACCACTTGTTGAACTAGCAACTTTGTGTGCCAGGTGATTTACTCGCTTAGTACTACTATTACTATAATTTCACAGGTATGTGAGGGGAAATGAAATTAAGCCCCCCACAAAAGATGAGCAGCATTTCCAAGCATCCCATGTTCAGTATTGATCAGCAGAAATAAACTATTTTGCAATAAAGAAAGTAAAAAGGGAAATTCCTAATTCATATACTGGACTAAGGTGATGTGTAAGTAAGTTGTAGATCTGGGAGGAAAAGCCCCTGATTCCCAGAGCCCACACCTCCTTCAGTAGAATTCCAAGACAAACAGGAGACACCCAAATCTGCTTATGCATGGGCGAGTGTGCCATGTGCCACCCAAATCTTTCCAAGGCCCTGGGCAGCACCAGAACTCACTGCATTTCTGTGCAGCCCTGATGCACAGGTCCTCCGCTGTATACTCTCCGCTGCCCAGTCGGAGGGGCTCCCTGTCAGAGAGATAGAAGAGCACTTCCACCCCTGGCTCAGGGGCCTCCAGATTCACCTCCATCTTCTTGGAGCTCCTCATTTTAGCACAGAAAGCCATGGCATTGCAGTCCTCCTTTATATTTAGATACTGTAGTGAAAAGAAAATAAGACAATATACGCATTCTACATGGAAAAAGTTTAAGAAACAAACATGTTATAAAGGTATGCAAACAGAAATCCATGATGCTGGATAAGTACTTCTCTCTCCCCCTTTCCTTCCTGAAAATCAAATACATCAGAGCTTGTGAGTTGAAACTATGGAAAATAAATAACTAGGCATACTAATTAATTAGTCAGCCCAACCATATTCACCAAAATCAGAATACTTTTAGAACAGCCTGAATTTATTTTATTTTCTCTATTTACATGCAGGTGAAGTTGAAAAAGTTGAATCATTCTAGAAACACTGATATTATTGTTTGTTACTGTTATCATACTGCTGTTACCTTTCCTGAAATCATTTAACTTCTGCATAGACCTATAGCATGAATCACATCATCCTTTAATTTTATGTCTATTTCACACTAAAAAGCAAGTTCTGCAACTTATCTATCTTTATGGCCCCCAGAGGCTTGCCCAGGGCTGGCTTTGAGATAGTGCCACAAATGTTCATAAAGCGACACAGAAGGATTGTAGAAATTAATAAACAAACTCAGGTTTTCACCTCCTGCCACAGGCAGGAAGATGGGCAGAATATAAAGATGGGAAGCCTTGCTCTGAAAAGGTCAGAACACCATGGTAAGAGGCTTGCAAGTAGCTCTCTCATAGGAAAGAGCAACTAGGACCAAAGAATCAACCTCAGCAAGTTAGCCTTGGGCAAGGTAACAAAGGAGGACTGAACAAAGGACAGGGTTACACATGCTTTCTTCTCTTCAACCAAAAACCAATGGTCTACTTACAAACTAATTTCTAAAATTCCAAGATCTACTTTCCTGCTGCCTGCCAAGTCAACCTTCATGTAATACCCTAAGTATTAATCCAATTAGATTCTTCATTAACCCACAGACTAATCTCAAACTCAATTAACAGAGGCCCTCCACCATCTGGTCAACCAACCTTACAGACCTCATTTTCTATGTCTCACTTCATGTTTGAAACCCACAAAGCTACCAGAGTTCGTGTTGCCCACCTGACTCACTGCTGTTTTTCTCACCTTCCTACTTTTGCTCACTCTGATGCCACTGCCAGGAACGTCTTTCCAGTTCATCCCGTTCATGGAACACTTAAACACTGTTTAGTATTCATTGCACACCTCACCTCCTCCAAGATGCCTTTGCTGAAATATACCACATGGCACTAACCACACTGAATTATGACTGTTTTATTTACATCTGTCTGTCTCACTTATATGTACTCTTAAGTTTCTTGAGGACAAGGACTGTGTCACTCCCCTTTGTATCTATAGTACCTAAATACAGAACTTATGTATAAAGGGTATTTAAATGACCCAAGAAAGCTCTTCAAAACAAAACAAGTCATAAAGGGTAAAAAACACATTTCTCTTCATATGCTTGGTCTATTAACCACCTTGGTGAAGTGAGATACTCACAGAAGGGCCATGAATCAGCACGACCAAATGCTACAAATACAGAAGCATTTAATTTTAGTAAGCAAAATAAATCTAAAACCAGAAACTTATAGAGACTTAGTCAAATAAATAAACTCATTAACTTGAGGTTCAAATCAACTGTCAAACTAGACCTCTTAAAACCTAGCACTGAGCCCCAACTACCCCCCACAATGAAAAGTAGAAATGAAAACAGTCACTAAAGCTGGTCTCACAAAGGAAGATAAGAAAACCCTGCTGTTGAGAATTTATACAGCATGGCAAGTGAAGAATTCACATTGGTACTATACCTTTTCACCCTAAGGAAATAAATAGGCAAACATGCATAATTATGTATGCACAGACGATATCATTTCAAATAGGAAAAAAATATAAATGACAACATCAAACAGGAGCTGACTCAACAATGCAAAGAACACTAACAGCTAACAAAAAAGATTCTGAGCTTTATGAACCAATATGGCAAGAGAGAAATAACACTGAGTGGGAAAAAGTCACATGATGTATACTATATATATATATATATATTATATATATATATTATATATATATATAATATATATATATATATATTTGTACACATAACATGTACATTATGGGGTGTTTTTATTTTTGGCTGTGTATAATCTGAAAAAATATATAGTGATTATTGATGATGGCAACTGCCTTGCAAGGGTGCTTTAACTTTCACTTTGTCATTTTCTATACTTTTGTACTCTTGGAAATTTAAACCAGCACACTTAAAATTTGAATTAACAAAAATTAAAATAGAACTTTTTTTTAAAATTCAAGAATGCTCTCCACTAGATTCAAGATTAGTTTCACTATTTTATAAAAAGTTGATTTTCCTTTTGTCTTTATATATACAAATGTACATACCTGCATTTATTCAGCCGTCCAATGCCTTTCAAACTGCAGACTGGATTTTCTTCACTATTTTCCAAAGTCTGTTCAGAATTAACCTAAAGACAAAAATGAATAAATCAATCTGCTGCAGAGGTAATTGCATCATAAAATAAGAAAATTATTTCACTAAGGAATCTGCCCAAACCATAAGTAGGTGGGAAAAAGCACTTGAGGAGAACGGGGAGAGGGAGACTGCTGAGGACACAAAGGACATTTAGGCATCTTTGGATATAAATATGAAATATCAAGATAGTATTATTTTCATTGTTTTAAGAAAGGAAGCAAGGGATTTTTGCTTCCTGGAGTAGAGTACCCTGTGTCCAGGGTGAAGACCACATGCTCTATCTGGAGTCTGTGAACAACAGTTTAGCACATCCAAAGACATGCACTTTCATTCATTTCCATTAGAATCACCTTGTCCCAAGACCTTGTCCTTGGTTTCATTTTAACAGTGAAGCAATTACAGCATGATGAAAGGGGGAGAGCTCGGAAATAAATCTGATTAATAATGCTTTCAGTCACCAATTATTTTTAGGCTAATTAAAAAATTTAGGCAGCTAGTGCTCCTGACTTACCCACCTAATTTCAAAGCTCAACTTAAAACTAAATAAGAACAGGCCCTCCCTGGTGGCACAGCGGGTTAAAGAGCAGCACTGAGAAGCTAAAGCCACTTCCGCATGAGTTCGATTCCCGCCTGCCTCGGAGGTGACCACATGGCGTGGCAGACCTCTCCTGACCAGCCCGCTGCTCCCCTCAGCAGTGTACTTTGTTGATCTGCCTGTTCTGCTCCCCACTCTGTCTCTGGTGAAGCCTCTCAC